TTATAGAGCTAATTGATCCGCCTTTCAAATAGGATATAGCTTAAAACACTGCTGTAAATACCTGCAGAGATATTAGTAAAAATATGAAAGTCATCAATTTTTGTCTGATTTTTGAGGGAAGACAATGACATTTTTCTCTTATAACAGTTCCTGAATAAACTGGTTTCCCTATTGATGGATAAGACCAAGGGCAGCCTAGTTCAATGCAATAAGAACTGCATGTCTCCTTTGCATAGGTCCTCTGGTTGCTTATAACGCATTCATGCAGTCAGGTCCTCATGGTCTATGTGGAATCACCAACACGAAAAATCAATTCTCTGTAAGCTTCACACCATACAAGTCTGTTCTGCATCCAGTCTAGCGCCAATCCAATATTTGTCAAAGAAGATGCTGTTACAATTCAGTGGCCAACAGATTTTTGCTCTAAGGGTGAATATAGATCACAATTTAACCAACAACCTACCTAAAGCATTTGACGATTACTGCTGACTTTGTTCCTCAAGAAATGTTTCCAGATATTGCATAAAAGCAAAAACCATTTGTATTAGATTGTTGGATCTAGATTGTAATAAACCGTTTGTATTCGAAAAGTATACAGTCCTCTTGATTGTTAAGTGTACCAGCATGCGGGGTCGTAAGAAATCCCCGACATCTGGTCCTTCGAGCCGGATAAGAAATGTCAAGCGAAAGAAAGAAGAGAGCAGGTCACATAGTATACGTGAAGAATATTCTCCCTGAGGTGGACGAGTGCTTGGAAAGCTACGACAGTGGAAAGAAAGCAGAACTATTGAAATGGCAAGCCAACTTGAAAGAGCAACTGGAGAAGATCCTTCCACTGGATGCAGTAATTCTGGATCAACTGGTGGCAGACGAGAAAGCGAGCGAAAAAGACGTGGCCAACAAGGTTGAGCAAAGCGGACGGCTAAAGGCAGACTTAACGTTCCGATTGGCATCAATAGAAGAGAAATTAGCCGGTGGACAGCCGCAGTTGTCATTCCCACAGCAGCATGAAGCAGCACCTAACAAGACGGTTAGAACTAAATTTACTGAGCAAACCAGGAAAAACGTTCTCCACGAAAGCCATGTTTTTTCTGTAATAAAAAGTAGGGATTGAGCAATGCATTGTACAATATGTGACCTTCTTTGCGAAAACATACACTAATGATAATCCAGTCATTTGGTTAGCTGGTTTGACCAAGTGCTCAAACAAATAATTGTGGAATCTAAATAGCTTATGGTTGGTCTGTCTAACATTGTACTTTTAGTTGTAAGAGGTTTGTGAAAATCACACATGATCAATTCGGCAGAAGTCTGTTCTGGTCTTATCAACCTTCAGGAAAATCCAAAATGACCAAAAAATAGGAAAATTTGCATGTAAAATTTTACATGCAAATTGTTATAATGTGTGTGTACTCAGTATACTCGAGTTTACATAACAGCCTGTCTGCTAGTTAGGCGAGTACAGGGTGGCTTTGTTGAGACACGTTCAAATATTAGTATTTTGTGCTACCTGGGCTAAAAGTGATTTGAGTTGTTAGACCAAATGAGTATCATTTTTAAATATTTCAATGTACTACGCTGGAATCTTCATTTGTCTACACCAGATTACCAGGAGATTAACATGATTTAGTTTCACTGTGTAAACATTATACCATTCACTACCTCTTAGCATTTTGTTCTCTTTTGGTTGTTTGTGCAGAAAAGTGTACAATTTTAATTTATCTAAAAACCTTTCAACTAAAAATAGTTTCAGTAATCTCAGCTATTATCTAACTATTTTAATGGACCAAATACTATGTAATATGAAGCTGTAATTAATTTACATCTCCTAAAACTTCAAAGTTAAAATTATTCATGTTTTGGTGATGGGTTGCTTCTACATGTATTTTGTTTACAGCATTTCATCTACTTCATTTATTTAAATCGCTACTTTGAGTTATTTTCTTCTATAGCATACTCCTTTCTCCTTCCCTGAATGTACCCCAGAAACAGGCTAAAAAGACTTGTTATTTTGGCATGAATTTAAAGTTCTTTTAGCTCGCATTACCAGTGTCAATCAGTCACATTCCTTTGGGAGAATGTCTACTTTGTTATCACTCCACACTGTGCCAATTCTAACCAGCTATTGTAAATTTTGTTATTGCAAGAACTAATTTTAGTTTTCTGCAATTATTTTTATTTCAAGAATCAATGGTAAAGCTTTACCATGACAAACCTGCTAACAAATTTTTACATCTGCGACCTGTCTACCATTGAGTGTACTTCACTTTGTGGAGGATCGGTATTTATGTATTTGTGCAAAACATGCTTTTAATAAAGTCATGGTATATACATTGCACAACCTTAAAAACTACCTCTTTGAAGAAAACTTTTAGAATTGCAGCTTTGCTTGTAACTACCTGCAGGTTTTGTTAAGCCAGGTTCAGATGCCAAGCTTTCCATGGGCCCAATCTAATTCAAATAAAGGCTGACCCATTTTATTTAGCCTAAATTCAAAGGAAGAAAAATGCTTATCTCGGTTAAAGTGAGTGAAGGATATGTTAAATGTTTAAAGCTGAAATGAATTGTCCTCTCATGCTGCCAACTGGAAATATTCCAAAAGGACTTACGTAGCTTTTTGCTTCTTTTCAATTTGAACAACCGAACGTGTCAGCAAACTCTACTGAGAGAAATTTACATTGCATATTTAGAAACCTACCAGTTCATTGAGCTGCTTTTAAAGTTTAAGCCAGTAAGACTATCAAAGTGGCAAAAACCATATCTTTCATATAGTGTATTATGCAAATACAGTGCTTGAAAAATTGGTTTCAAATTACACATGTTTTGCCAATGCAATTTTTTTATGTGAAGTCCTACAAAAAATGTTGTTCAGCAAAAGCACAGTTGTCTGATATCTGGCCGCAGTAATTTGTTAAATTATTCAAGTCTACTTTCTTTCAGAAATTGGCCTAAGGTCATTTTGCTATCATACACCAAGTTGCATTTTTACCAATGTTTTGATATTTCCTCTGCGAAAGTTGCTGATACACGTGATGATATGCGTGAACAGCAACTGCACGTTTAAAAACGAGCGGAAATTTTCAGGTGGAGAGAAACTCATCACTACCAATTTGTAGAATATTTGGTTATTCTCAAGTTGGTTTGTCAATTCAAAAAATTAAGGAAACTACAAGAAGTTTTAACATTGCAGCTAACAAAGGTCATTATCAAATTCAGTGTCCAATGCCAATCGCTAACACATCTAACAACTCAGACACTCTAATAAAACAGTGTGCTAATGACAAGCTCACAGAAAACAACTCAGAAGTAACTTAAAATTCTGCAAAATCTAACACTTGTTTTCTTCACTCTTCAAGGTAACATCTTTAAGGTACTACGTACGGCTAAAATGTACCCAAAATGCGACCTTTTTTGAAGTATTTCAGCTCTTTTTAATAATTGACCTGGATGCTATCTTCAAGTTTTCATTATCGTAGAATTCGAATTTGAAGTGAAAAATATTGATGTCTTGTCAAAAAGGTGTGAAAATCGACACCTTAAAATATCACTTAAAATTATATATTTTCAGTTTTCTCCTTTCCCCTTCTTCATTAACCATCCTCTTTTGCCCTATTAAATAAACATAATAGTTGGATACACATATGCTTTACCCGCCACGTCATTGTAAATCCTAGACGGAAAATTTCAATTGTTGGAAATCAGCCACGTGACATACCATAAACTCGATGCAAAGTCACGATTTATGGCGGGTAAGAAGATGATAAAAGCCTCACTTGTGTTTGTTAACTCCACAAAATTTCAGTAGCACAGGTTTAAAGGTAACGGAGAAATTGAGATATTTGCCATACTATGCTAACAACGCGATCAATTTTTGCTCATTTTATTCAGAAAATATTGTCCCCCATCTTGAATTCGCTTAACAGGAGTCGCGTAGCTTTGTGGGACATTCGTTTAATGGAGAAATAACGTATTTAGAGCATGTTACACGTCAACTATTCTAAACAAAGGCACACTCCTTAGCAATGGTGAAAACAATATAACGGCGAGCCACTCTGTCAGCGGTTGTAATGTGCATTTTCTCATTGTGCATAGCCACTTGCGTGTTCGCAAAACCACATTTCGAGAATCCTTGCTTGCCTTCGACTTGTCTTCGTTCAGTTCCAATCGTTCAAAATTTTGCTTGTATCATAATATATTGTGAATATTTCTCTTTCTTTTGTTTCTTAATTTCAAATTGTCACTTTCATATTCATCTGTATATACTTTTCTGTAAATAATTTTCTGTAAGAAGTCTGCGAAAGCAGAAAATGGCACGCTGAGCATGTGCTGAAGACGTCCGTGCAAGTGGGGGAGTTGGCTCAAGAGTCGCGCTGGATTTTGAAAAACTGGAGACAGCTGGCTGGACCGTAGAACAGCGGGAGATGTCTTCAGCGTTTTTTTCTCCACTTCCCGAGAAGAAAAGATTCAAGTCTTCCAAGGATGTTGCAGACTACTTGAAGAGTCGTGGAGAATTCGTCTCCTTTATTTGATGCTACTGTGGAACTTCTGCGATGTCTCCAAGCCGTAGCAGTGAATCCGACGAAGATTATCACCCGGATACGGAGGAAGAGGCTTTGTCGAGCATGTTTGGCGATACTCCAGTAAAAAAAGACAGTTTGGGAAACTCATCTGATGCTCCGTTGCCTAAGAGGTTAGCTTAGCAGTGTTTAGCTATAATATTCATTCGAGTTTTTATTCCCCGTGACGCTAGATCGATCTCCAATAGTAGCTTTGCATTTACATCGTCCCTATGTTTACGTGTTATCCAGATAGCTTTATTGTTGGTAAAAGACATTTGTTTTGAAAAGTGTTCTTTTATTCATTTGCTTATAGATTGAAGCTGGATGCAGATGTCCATGCTGTTGAATTACCCCTGAAGTACTTTGTTGGTATGACCAACCAGTTGGAAAGTCTTCTCGACCAGGTGAACAACATACGCTAATGCTCAACATCAGGTTGTAATGGTAAGTAATGTAATACAAACTCTCAAACTTAATTTTCTCCTTTCTGACAAATATTTATGCTGCATAGGCATGAAAAAACTTATATGGCATTGAATTGTTTTTGTTGTTGTTTTTATTCTTTATTACATCCTTTATTTTGAGACCCTACACTACTGTTTCTATTTCAGCATGTACTGCAAACCCTATAAATTTTTATTTTAATATAGGCTATACACTTTGTGTCCTGCTACACTTTACACTTTGATGTTCCCCAGGGCCACATTTCTCCCGTACATATCTGTTGCTGTTTTTTGTTTTGTTTTTTGTTTTTTCAGGTATCCTAGTACCTACTGGAATGGAGGACAAGGGATTGGGTGGGGCCATAACAGTCAGAATCGCATGCAGTGGCTGTGGAAATAGTATTCACTATGCTAGTAGCATGGTTTGCTTAACAGAAAGGAGGAGGAACTGTTTGTCTCTTGCCTTGGGCCTGTGCTTTCTTATTTGGGGGCATGGATACCCTATTTACCATAAAGTTTTGAGGTTGGGTTTGGGACTACAAACCCTTGCTTATAAAAATTTCTTTCATAGTATAAGAATTGCTCATCCATTTGTTAAGACTGTCCTGGATCAAATATGTGAAATGGGCAAAAATGAGATGAAAATGAAAAACCCTTCAACGCTTGGAAGCTGGAAGAAGGCAGTTACCACCTCTGATGGCTGTTGGCTGATAAGGGGACACCATAGTCAGTGCTGTACATTTGTAGTTATCAATTTTTTAACAGGGTGTACGCTTTACTATGGGCATTCTTATATGAGAGGGTCAAACAATATTTGTGACTCTGAGTTATGGGAGGGAACTTCAAAAGCTGCTGAGGGGCACTTGGCAGAGGTTTGTTTCAACAAAGCTAAAGAGGAGGAAATGGTTATTGCAGTTAATTGGCAAGATGCTGACTCCTCATCAGCAAAATCATTTCGGTAACAGGAACAGCAAAAGAGGTAACATATATTTGAAAATTTTGCACATGGATTAGTACTCTACCTACTGTAAAATTATTATTTTTGTTATAGGAAGTTTTAGACATGTAGGATGTCTTGAGTAAATATCAAATGTCACAAGACTGATAATGGACCCTTGTCGAGTGGCAGCCATTTTGTCTCAGGAGATTTAAAAAGCTTTGCTTTTGCACCCCTAGCCTCGTAGATAGAACGAGGCTAGGAGGACCTAGGAGGTCCATTTTGACTGGTTTGGGGTACCAGTAACAGCTGGACCAGCGTGCAAAGAAAGTCGTGTCCGATAGCCTGGGGCTAGTGGATTTTGCTATTGGGCTAGTGATTTCTGTTCTTGACTTGTTCAATGGGCAAGTGCTGTTTTTTTGGGAAATTCAAATTACAGAAGGATTGTAATCAATGCTGCTAATCAAAAAAGGTTTTGGGGCTAGTTGAAATGAATTGTGGGCTAGTACATGCTAGCTACAGCTTGCCCGAATGGCAGGCTGTAAAAACTGACTTTCTTTGCACCCTGTGGACAACGTGTAATTTTTAGGACTCCATATAAAACAAAACTGTTTAGAAGTATAACATTAGTAAGATGGGGATGGCCATGAAGCCAAGGGAGGCTTGTTAATGAATTGTTCAAGAATTTTTTTTTCTGACCCTAACAATCCAAACTAATAATAAGCTTTCTGTATTGTGTTTTATTTAGACGACAATACACAAAACGTCAAAGAATCATCCACCAAATGGCCAGACAGCTGATGAGGAACTCGATGAAGAAGAAGCTACAAGGGCAGTTGAGGAAAATTTACAAATCCAACAAACTCAGGCAGCTACTAAAGCTTGTGTCTGTGGTGGCACAGACCATTTGCGAAGGTCAAGTGTGTGCTGCCCATTAAATTAAAAAAATCAGTGACTGACAAGGGCAAATTATTTGTCACAGGCAGTATTTTAATGTAACTGTTAATAATATATTTGTATAAACCCATAGTGTTTTGGTCTTTATGTGCAGCAATGGCATTTTTAAAAGTGGCAAATAATATGATTTTAATTCTCAAAGGGGAAGGTGGGGGGGGGGACAAGGCGTCAAAAAATGGCAATGCTTTACAGAATTGTACTAGTTTAGATGTAAAGCTTTTGCATTGCTCATGCATACAGTAGGCATTTGAGAAACATTGACAATAGTGTCATGCTGCTCTAAGTTTTTTTCCCTGTGGGAGCAGTGGATAATTCTCAATAGTCTCTTTTTGAGTTTCTTCTATTTTGCTAGATCTGTTCTCACATATCAATTCCTTTTTTTTCTACTGAATGCATCAATACTGCTTGAAAAAAATTATATTTGAATTGAAATATATCAGTACAGTAATACATGCACGAGAAGTTAAAAATTGTAATATTTTATTTTCATGAAACAAATTAAAGTGAAATTAAAAATTAAATTTTCCTCTTCTTGACTTCTGAATCTGGGTTTTCCTGTCCAAAAGATAAGTAAAATGAATATAAACACACTTACCAGGAGAATATTGGTAAAAGGTAATGGCCCATTCAGGGCTGTTATCTCTGTACTTTTGATGGCTGAACATGTTTTGGTTCATTTTCATCCTGGGGAGAAATTTTAATTCCACCTTTTCTTGAATATGGTTTTGTAGTAGGAAAATGAGTTTGAAACTAGCAAATATTACATAAGATGAAGTGGAACCAAGCTGACATTAATTTTTGCCAAAAAAAAAAACTTACCCTTGGACGAGTAAATTCCTCCCTCAAATCGCCCTCTCTGTACACCTCCAAAAGCTCTCTAAGTGAGACTTCATAGAAGTTTCTTCTCTGTGAAACAATAAAATTGAGCAGTTAAAACCTTAAAATATATCCTGATATTAGGTAGTGCTGAGACTGAAATCTTATATGCATGCACACAAAGTAAAAGGTACTCTTTTTGACTTATTTGTATTACAATCCATTTTCCCTACCTTTTTACTTTTGGGGGCATAGTCTTTTTTAGTATATACTAAAACAGTGGATAGTGTTTTTTGCGAGCTCTGATTGGTAACTCAATCAGTGAATATCCTGCACTATTCACTGATTCACCTCCAGTTCCTCTGAGCGAGCGACGCCAAACTCGCGTAGGTTGCGAGCAAATTGCTTTCCCGGTTTGCTGCCGTAACAAACTAAGAAATTTCACAACTAATCAAGCAAGCTATTTCCGAAATACATGAAGAAGGTGACAAAGTTCGGTTTGGAAGTTTTAACAGGTAAAGCTTTGTCTTTTTTACTTGAATTTATCGATAAAACCAGTGAAAAAGCATTTTGTTTACAAATGCAAATTAAGCTTAAGTCTTGCGTGACATTATTTAGTTGACTTGTTCATAAATAAGCTTAAAACTAAATTTAATAATCTTTTTTACAGAATTATTTTAAATACAAACAGAATTCACAACTCCTTTTGAAGAAACTTCCCTGCAAGAGCTAAACAAATGCCTTAAAAAGTTTTATTTGTCGCTAAGAAAAAGCGACGACTGCCGCCGTTCGGTCATCGCGCGCCAAAACTGTAATTGTTGGCAGCAGTAAATGAGTTAAAAATCATCATTTTGTGCTCAATTATCTCACTGTTTTAGTGTATACTAAAACAATTATTCACCTCAGTGTCGGTGGCTATTTAACAATTATTCCATGAGGGTGAGTTGGATAATTGTTTTATTAAAAACGCCCACAAAATCTCATTGAATCTCCCCGACTACAACAAACCGGAAAAGACAAGGGACTTCCGCTATTCACATGTCACACATCTATCAAAACTGTCAACGCGCGAACGGACTTGCCTGGGCTTCATGAATGAAAAATCAAAACATTGTAGCGATGAACATTAGTTTTTTAAAAATTCATCGGAATTCTAGGATTTTACACAGCAGAACAGCTTAAAAAAACCTGGCAGATAATGTGAAGGAAAAGAATTTTTAAGTGACAGCCGTCGAAATTAGTGTGAATTTGGATTTTCAGTGCAGTTATAAAAGTAAGAACAACGGAGAAAAACTATTACCTCGGTCGCTTGTTATGAAGTTGTTTGAAGCCACAAGCTGGTTTTGCTGAACCAGAAAAGAAGCTATACTGCCGCCTCGATTGCTCTAGTGATTGGCTGCATAGGCTGTATTTGTAGCTGGTTACTTGTGATTTATATTCTTGACGTCGGATAAACAAGCCGCAGTTATCTATCGGCGAGTGACTCGATCGGCGAATGGCTTCGCGATCATGAAGAAACAACACTTGTCTTCTTTGGTAGCTGGTCAAGGTAATTTAGTTCCATGTGTTTTCATGTGTTTTTTGACAAACTTTCAAACAAGCTCTTGTGGCTTTTTTGTTTGTTTTTGTCTTTTTTCTTTCGATGAAATTGCATTTCTCGTATTCTAAGAAATGAATTAAAACATAAACGAAGCCCGCGGCAAGATAGGAAACGCTTTTTTTAGAGTCGATGGAAGGTTAAAATTTGACTGTGCATGTGGCTGGTATATACCTCTCGTACCATATTATCGAGTATATGGTATTGCCGATTCGGTTTCAAAATGCTAGAATTGCATTATCCAATGATTCAGTTTTTAATAATAGTGGATATTTACCTCGCCGCTTCGCGGCCTCGTTAAATATCCAATACTAGCCACCTCCACCTCGTATCACGTCAACTACAACCGGGGGATACAGTAGGGAGCTGCCATCCCCAACACCACTTTCACGCTAAAATACAACAAACAGCACATAAAAATGGAAGATCTACATAGGTAGAGTACAAAGACAAAAATAAAATGATCAAATACAGCTGTTGCAGTGCGACAGCACTTTTGGTGCAGGCAAGTCTCATTTATGTGGAAGTATTTTGACAGCATTTTTCTAGGCTACAAACTAACAAAAATTGACCCAACCTATTGTGGGTAAAAAACCATCATACAAGTACCGGTAACTATGCTCATTGTGTGGACTGAATTGTGGTCGTTTTGCTCGAAAGTCAATTCGCCAGATGGCATTTCGCTCGGAGTTAAGGCTTAAAGAACAACAAATATACATCGGGTGAACGACCTAAGTCCGGGCGAATTGACTTTTGTGTGAAACGACGTGATATCGTGTGGACTACATCCACTTGTGGTGTACAAGTAGGACTAAAATTTTGGTATAAAGATGAAATGGTTCAAATCGGTATGTCGAGTATAAGTGGGGGGTGCATAATCTACTTCTAACACCCATGGAATGAATATAACATAAGCGATCGGCACTTTGACACAGAAACGCACGTGGAAACAAGCTAAAAAATGTCACACTTTTCACATACAATGCCTCACTAAAATGATGCTTACTTTCTCCTTACATCATAAATTCCTAACCAGAACAGAGATGAAGAATTCTAACAAAAAGCCACTGGAGTGCTGGGAACAGCAGGACAAGGAGAAAAACTTTACCTACCACCAGAAACGTATACAGCGATCTGTATATGTAGGATCTCGTGTCCTTGTCGCTTGCGTCCAGTTCACAGCTTTGAGTCCTGGCATCTAACAACAAATTTTTAAATTTCATTGGGATTTCATCAAAACTGAAAAGAAAGAAAAAAGATGTTAGAATTTAATGAGATTTGGATAACTCGGAAATGTTGCAAATAGTAGGAATTTCGGTCAAAGCGGCCATATTTTCCAGATATTTTGTAAACACTTACCCTAGTTCGGTACAAGCAACCTTCAATGGTGCGATCAACTCCTCCACATGGTTAATTGAAGCCATTTCTAGAAAGAATGCAATGTCTCAGTGTCTCACTCTTTCCGCGGCTTGGATATAACACCAAAAAGGATCTCAAATCGAGACACTTACCTGCCAGCAAACTGTCAAACGCGGAGTGGCCGAAATATTCACGCAAGCCCCTAGAGGTTTCGTGCTGACAAATCTTCACAGCGCATGTTCTGAGTATCCGTTGTCTGATTCTTGCTACTGCAAATCAAACATGGCGGCTAAAAATAGCGGCCTTCGCAACCAAATTACAACCCCGGTTTCTCAGAAACCAGCCAACAACAAGCCATCATATTTTAGGATTGTAATTATATATGTAAGAGTTTTGATCTAGCCGAAAATGAAGGTCATGTTACTTTTTACATTTTAGCCGTACGTAGTACCTTAACACTGTGCAAAATTGGTTGGTTTCTTGCTGGACGTGTCGTCAATAATTTTTGCTTTCATTGCCTCATACGCAAAAAGAATTGTGTCACAAGTATCTAATAAGTTTGGGCAGCCACACCCAAGTTGCTACCTAACCACCAACCCTGTATCCACCCATAAGATAAAACCAGTGTACTACAATATACATATAACTTATAACCGAGCATCTTTGGGAAACAAAACAAAATGTAGTCAAATTCTTGACTCTAAAAGCTCTGGCTGCTCATCCTCTTCTTTGTTATTGGTTTTCAATGACTTCTACATCTTTTTAAGCTGGTATTAAACGATGAATGAATCGTTTTGCATTTGAAGGGAAATTATCATCTGGCATCAAACATTTTTTGAACTGAATGTTGATGCTTGGTAAACAGGCAAATTTTTTAGCACGTGCTTCACCCAAGATTAAGGTTTTTTTCAGTCATTTCCACACAGTGATCTTGCACTTGTTTCAGACTTTATCTTCCCAAGGAAGCTCCCAAATCCATTAATAGAGCTGTGAGAGCTCTTTTATCACAATTATTTTGATAAACAAGGGTTAACTTTACCAGATTTGGCCGTTAATTAACAAAATGTTCAGGTTCATGCATTAAGCGATCGATTTTATCTTAATACTACCGATGCATGTACCGATGTGACCTTTTTCACTTTTGTTCGCATAGGGCAATTTAATGTGAATAGCCGTACTCAGCATCATTGGAAACATGTTGTTGTAGTT